GCTTCCACGTTTTCCATGATGATCTAGCCTATATCGACTTACGAATTTAACTATTAAAACTACTACAATCTCCACAAACTCTCATTCTGATAATAATAATAATAATAATAATAATAATAATAATAACAATACAAAGATATGAGAATCATGATAACAAAGATAGTAATATTTGTCTAAAATAGGTTGTTAGTACATTAGCTAAATTAATACATTCAATAGTTATGATTCCTAATGAAAAATTGACTCTGAGGTTGACCAAGGTAAGAGAAGCAGTTGAAGATATTTCTTCTACACATATACCTCCGGTTTTTTAGTCCGAATGACAATTGCTTCTACCATTTGGATAACTTTAAGTCTGACAAACTGACAGAAAACTACGGACTCGAAAAATAAGCGAGAAAGAATGGGTTATACTGGTTTACGACCAGTATGCGCTAAATGGAGCTGTTCACTTTCTTCACTAGACCTTTTTTTAGCCATTACAGGCTTAGTTTATACTGAGCTACAAAACATGAGGATCAGTGTAATTCCTCACCGATTAACTTTAGCATACTTACATGACTTTCATAAATTAAGACATTTTATCTTTATTGTACCAGATTGTATATTCGTTTCAACTGAGCATTCTTCTGCTAATAACTGAATGACTCAGTACATGAATATTCTTTCCTTTGGTATGATATCGACAGTATGCGAAATAAAAAATGATTATAATCAGAGAAGGGTTTTGTGGATATTGTATTAATTTATTAGTTGAATTCAGGAATCAGCTGAAGCTAGATCACCATGGAAAACCTGGAAGAAATGGACGATCGTTTCGTTCTAGTGTGGGACTCTGTGAGACGCACTAATGTATGATGATCATCATCCTTGATCAGTGTTCAATAAGACTGTAACATATTGATCATTTTCAATCATTTTTCCGTTCTTTCAGTGTACCTGTTCTGTATATAAGGGTGTATAGTTCACTGGGGACTTGATTTTAAATATCTAAAACTGTCTACATATGTCTTCGATTAACATGACACTAGGGCATCCCAAAATATCCGACTAAAAAACAAAGAGATTGTAAGTTAGGACTAGAAATGTAATTCTCGGTGAAATTTATACTAATCTATGTAGCATTCATTCACTAAATAAACGAGAAAAAAAAAACTAAATATTCCCCACATATCAAATATTTAAGAACAGATGCGTTACAAATTCATGGACACATATCCTACACCGTTTTAATGAATCACTCCTGTTCGAATCATTAGACTGACTTCAATTTATTGATTGCGATTGACAAAGTATAAACTACCAACCCTAATCACTACTTTCTATAACACCAGTAATGCTTTATGATTATACATATGTAATCGATCGCTGGATTACAAATGCTGAATGTAACTGATTGTGATGACATCTCTCAAGTTCTGGATTATTAAATCATGGATTTCCTCAAATTAACCTCTATCAGAAGACACGATGACTATTCAGTAAAAAAAAAACTCAAATTGATGTCTACACCTGATTGTCAATTCTAAGTAGCTAATATCAGACTGTTCATTTTAAGGTATAGATCAAATTCTATTGACTGAATATCACGTATGATTACCAGAATAAACGGCTAACGGTAATCTATAGGAATATGATAAATAGAGTTTTCATTCTGTTTATCACTCACTAATATGTTTTGCCTACAATTATCAATGAACAGAATATTCTTCGAAAGATGGAAACACTCAACAAAGTTTCACAACTTTCAATGTTATTCAACAATCTTAAGTTCGAAAAGATCTTTTTTATGAAAATTGAGAGTAGCACGAATGAGAACAAAGAAAAAAAGGGAAAAAACGACCAGTCAATGAATCTCAGTTATTGTTTAATTAATAACAATTCTACACGCAATGTTTTATTGAACACCTATTCATTACTTACGAATTCTCTAAAATACAATCTCATATTAGGTCCTAAGACGACCAGTGTAGCAGCAACCTCAGCAGCAGTAGGTCTCAATATACACAAAGGGAAAAGCAAGATTCTCCGATACAGCACGGAATGCACCAATCCAATCACAAGTGACGAAGATTCGGAAGATGTAAAAACCTTTACATATTTGGACAGCATTATTGATGAATATGGTGGATCTGATGCAGATGTGAAAGCGTGGATCGGCAAAGCAAGAACAGCATATCTACAACTGAACAACATCTGGAATTCAAAAAAACTGTCAACCAACACCAAGGTCAGAATTTTCGGTACAAATGTCAAGAAAGGTCTACTGTATGGGGTGGAAACTTCGAAAACTATGAAAGCCACCATCCAGAGGATACAAGGGTTTATTAACAGTTGTCTATGCAAAATACTTCGGATCCGTTGGCCAGACACTATCAGTAACAACCTGCCATGGGAGAAAACAAACCAGATTCCAGGAGAGGAGCAGAAATCAAGAAGAAGCACTGGAAGAGGATAGAACACACATTGAGGAGAGCAAAAAACTGCGTCACAAGACAAGCCCTCACATGGAATCCTCAAAGCCAAAGGAAGAGAGGAAGACCAAAGAACACATTACGCCGGGAAATGGAGATAGACATGAGAAAAATTAACAAGAATTGGATGGAATTAGAAAAGAAAGCCCAGGACAGAGTGTGTTGGAGAATGCTGGTCGGCGGCCTATGATCAATTAGGAGTAACAGGCGGTGCGATGCAATATTAGGTCCTGAATGCATACTACTGAAAAGTCCTATAGCGATATGGAACAACTATCTACTATTGCTTGGATATCACTGACGCTTTATCTGACGTTTTTGTGTAACGAATGGCAATTGTAAAGTCATTTAATCTACACAAAACCTTTTTCAATAGTAATAAACTAATATAAGTAATCAATCAAAACCTTTTATAATTTAAGGCATAAACCTTTCTAGTAACTATTAGTTACTTAAAGGTTTGAATTATGTTTTTCTGGTTAGCGTTGTTTTAGCGAGTTAGTTTTCTACGGGATGGGGTCGTTAACCCTATGCCCAACCCCCCTCCTTTATCCGGGCTTGGGACCGACAGTAGCCCCCGGAGGGACTCCAGTCGGAGTTAAGCATTAATTATCATAGTAAATATTTTAAAACTGTCCAATCTACAACATCAAGTATTTATTCTGTTTAGTTGTTAAATATAGTTAAGACATTAAATAACTCAGTATAGTTTCCACCTTCTGGTCAAAAGTAGTTTACTTAAAGTCTTGTCATTGAATTTCATAATATGTATATCAATGACAAGGTATAGTACTTACAAATAATTGACAAATTAAGTAGATTAATTAGGATATTCGTTCTTTTTAATTATACAAGTTAGTATTAAAACTGACTATTCTATTGTGTCTTACAAGTTACCCAAAAATGATGAGACCATAGTATATGGACGAACTTTGAGAGACTCCATGATAATGTTGAGTGTTCAACTACTAAGCTGGGACTAAATGAACGTTATAAACCAGTGCTAAGAATTAAGATTAAGATTTTAAGTTGATGGTTATACTTAGAAATTAGATTTCGGATTCTTCATCATGATCTAATATCAACTTTAATGCTTAAACTCTATTTACCCAAATGGATGAATGAATTTTGCGCCAAAATTTGACACCTGGTATCTTATATCTGATTGGTTTGTCTATAAATTATAATCTCGCCAAAATTCAGTAATTTCGTTTTCAAATACATTTGATTGTCCCCACTTTTGTTCTCGTTCACTTCAGCACCGTAGGTAAGGTTGTAGTGAACAAGAACACAAGTGGGGACAATCAAATGAGTGTGAACGCCAAAATTACAGAATCTCTTAGTAAAAGCTGAGAATCATACAGCAAGTACTTCATTTGTAAAATGTCAATCATTCGTCTCAAACTTCACTGTCCCTTCATTTACATGCCAATTGCTTTCTGTTCTCATTCTTTCCTTCTCGATCTTCTGCTGCCGGACATTCTATTCCTGACTATCGTTATATTCTACTTATATAAATATAAGTAGCACAAACCACAGGGTTAATTAATAATGAATATCACTTTTATGCTAAACTGATCTCCACAATAATAATAATAATCCCTATATATATTTAGTTATTTTAAACTGATGTATCACAATTGATCGATCACTAGGTGATGATCAATATCATGTGTGTCAAGTCGTTCTTCGTGCAGATCGAATGCTATCGATCAAGTTGCAGTGTGTCCACTAGTCTAAGTGACTTGACATTGCATGTACTATGTTGAAATTAGATGGTTGTTGTAGATAGGGTCCAGGGTTTCCTGTTAAATACCTCCAATCACCATCTAAACTGGTGTATCGTTTACACATTTATTAATCAACATGATTTGATTAGTCCCAATATACACAAATTTTACTGGTGAGACTATCATTTATGGACGAACTTTGAAAGAATCCATGATAAACTTGAGAGTATCTACCTATTAAACTAGGACCAAATGCAGGTTATAGACCAGTGTTAAGAATTAAGATTAAGATTTTAAGTTGATTGTTATACTTAAGGATTGGATTTCGGGTTCTTCATCATGATCTAACATCAACTATGATGTCTAAACTTTATTTAACCAAATGGATGAATAAATTTCGCGCCAAAATCCTAGACTTGTTATCTTACATCTGATTGGTTCGTCTATAAATTATAGTTTTGCCTTAGTTATTTCTTAATTAAAATCCTTGGAAATTATAGAATGAAGAATACCATCGCAACAAAACATATTTGTTTTGTTTTGTTGGGTTTTTTCTTTCTCGAAAAAAATTCTATATAAATAATCTTTAAATATTGTACCAGCATAGAATAGTTTTCAAATGACATTGAATATCGAACAAACAGTTTATATTTACTATCTAAAAATAGGATTATTTGAATTGACCAATCAAATAATAGCTTGTTAAAAGTTCAAATACACACTCACACACACGCACATGCACGCACTCCATATATAGATATATATATAAATACACAATCACGTTATATCCGTATTATATCCCTTCATAATATGGTTAGGGGATAATTATGGGACAATTTATGAATCATATTTATTTAATATTCAATCAAATGGATCATTATTCATTGAATGAATAGGAAGTAATAATAATGATAATAAAAACAATAGAGGATTAAATGAATGAAGAACTAACCGCCTTACCCGTCATTCTATGATTATTACAATATGACACTGCATACATGTTGGTAATATACAATCAATACAAATAGACTGAAGTGATTGTGACACATTCACACACACACACACACACACAAGTAATGATACCTCAAATATATACCAGGTATTACATCATCCATTAAAATTTATTATGACTATCCTGATTATCCATTTGTCAACTTAAAGATTTGAAATAAAATAATTTTTTTATTAAAAACAACTAAGAAAACATATGCTATTGATAGTTATTACATATTATTCCTTTTTAGCTTAGTTACAATTGAAAGAAGAGAGAAAAAACATCATAGACAACAACCACCACCATAACAACAACAACAACAACACAATCACACAATTTCTTTACTCTCGGACAGAAAAAAAATAAGACAATCAATAAACGTCAGAACAAATTACACAAAAGAGGAAATAAACATTTAAAATTATAAAACAAAAAGAATATTATATCATGTTGTGGAATATATGAGTGCCATCTTGAAGTTTGTTTATTTTGAATCTTTCCTAGGAACAAAAAACAAACAAACAAACAAACAATTAAACGAAGAAACAGAGACGAAGGTAATAGTGAAACTGTAAAAACAAATAAATAAAAAAAGATTTTTTTCAACTTGTTTTGATATCAGCTTGTAGAAAAAACAAACAAACAAAAGAAACCAAGAAATTGGATAGTTCAACTTATTGAGAAAGAGAATCAATGTGGTAACAACAGTTAAGTAAGTGTTCTGTTTTTCTTCTCATACAACCTGAGTTAATCTATTTTAAAAGCGTTAATAATTAATTTAAATAATAACACTGTTGGATTCTGGCTCAGTGGTTTAGAGGATAAGCGTTCGCATGCGAGACCGATAGGTTTCGGGTTCGAATCCCACGAGGTGGGATCACGTGTGTGCACTGCTGGAGGAGTTCCATAATAGAACGAAACGGTCATTCAGTGCTTCAAACTTCATGATCTTAACTATTAAAATTACTATAATGTCCACAAAAAACTTCCTTGTAATGTAATTTGTTGTTAGATTTTAGTAACTATATCTTTATTGTTATTTATGAATGAAACAAGTTAGTTTTTTAATGAAATGGAATGGTTTAGTTAATTTGAACATCTACACAAACACAATTTCTACTTTGATAGTACCTCATACTTTGGTTGAACTAGATTTATGCTTGAATGAATCTTTCATTAGTTGAATTTAACTGTTTTAAAAAAACGTGTGAAAACTTAAAATTTCCAAGTTTATTCTTAAAAATATATTAGTTTGTACTAGTTGCATCATGAATGATCTTTGAAAAGATTAATTCAGATGTTTTCCAGAATGTTCTAGGATAACTCCATAATAATGATAATTCAATGGAAATGTGAATAGTACCAACAGACATATGAAAAATGACACATTTTAAAATATGAAATTATTATCCTTCTATCGAGGTTAGATCTATATGTAACGGACAGTCGTTTTGTTATAATATGGGACTCCACGATCCCACATATGGGATTTAAACTGAAGACCGTGCGTGAACTCTTAATTTCTAGACAATTGCCTCAGTATTCAACAATGTTAATGTCTAACTTCAATCGATCGACTCATGAATTCAACTATTAAAATATTACAAAATCCACAAATCCTCACACTGATACTTCTATTTCCAGTGGTTAATTTACTGTTTCACTTACGATATCAATTAGCTAATATGGAGACATGTTTTTGTGTTGATATCACAATATCATAATGTAATAATATATTTGTCTTTTATCATAAGTAAAAGTAATTTACATTTTGTTTCTATGTAAATTTAACTAATGGAATCCCTTTCCCCTCGAACCTTTAAAATGTATTTTCTAAATATAAGTATCAGAATAAGATCGTCTCAATCTGTAGTTTTTAAGACAAACTTCTATTCTAATAAAGTTTTCAACTTGTTCAACTAAACAACTGAGCATCATTTTGATTCTTTCCTTGACTATCTTATTTCAATGATTTTCATAGTATCTAATTTCATTTACAAGATATATACTATTATCAGAAGGAGTTTTTGTGAATATTATAGTAATTTTTAATAGTTGAGATCATCAGTCAATTGAAGCTAGATCATCGTGGAAACGTTTGGAAGCACTTGGCTATCATATTGTGGTATGTGCTACTTATATTGACATAATTAGTATAAGATGTTAGTCAGGAATAGAATATCTGGCAGCAGAGAGATAAGAGGATCGAACAGTAAAGAATGGGAACAGAATGCAATTTGTATGAAAATGCAAGAACAATGAAGTCTGAGTCAGTTTGAGACAATTAATAGATATTTCGCAAATTACGTATTTCACTGGTTGGAACCATGAGTTAATTGAAGCTAGATCACCATGGAAAACCTGGTAGCACTGGACGGCCGTTTCGTCCTAGTACGGGACTCCTCAACAGTGCGCATCCATAATCCCCCACCCCGCGAGACTCGAACCCAGGACCTATCAGTCTTGCGCCAGGCGCTTAACCAACTAGACCACTGAGCCGGCCGGCATCCAACGGTGTTAATGTCTAACTTCAAACAATCCACGAATTTGAGCCACCGTACACCATTGTCTTCAATGAGTTCCTATCTCACAACAAACCTGATTGAACTCCTCTGGTAACGACTTCTCACTAGAACTGAATAAGTATCTCTTGAAGTCAGACACTAGTGAGCAGGTGATTCTGATAATTACATATTTACTATTTGATTGTTAGATTTTATTAACAAGTCCTGTAGTTTTGTGTCACATACATTCGATTGTCCCCATCCGTGTTCTGTTCACTATATTATTATCTAGTCTTTCATGTCTTAATGGAATTCTATCGATTATGTGTTTGAATTATAGTTACTAATGTAGGAAAATTGTTATCTACCCTGGAAACAAGAACAATATCTATCAACAGTATCAAAGATACTAATAATCAATGTAAAGTCAGAATCCAAATCAATCCAATGACCTATTTATGTTTCATCATAGAATCATACCATTGAACTAAGCTATACAGAAATAGTTATTCATAGTTTAACTAAATAAAAAATAATCACATAAATATTTAATACTTCAATTCAAATAGTAACTTTGTTTGAAAAGATATTACCCTAATTTACTTGACCAACAATTCGACATATTTAGTTGACAATACAACGACTCATAGTGTTCATCAATTCAATATATCTAGTTACCTAACCATAACGTATATACAAACTAACACACACACACACACGCACACACAGAGACAAACACCTCATAGATTGAATGTTGCCAAAAGCAATATCATTAATGTATACAGTTACATTCTTTATTAATAAGAAAAATAGACTTAACTCATTACTATTACTCCTCCTCCTCCTCCTCCTCCTCCTCCTCCTACTACTACTACTACTACTACTACTACTACTACTACTACTACTACTACTACTACTACTGTTATTATTACAATTACAGAGGAGAAAGTCAGTTTATCTAGTGACAAAGAGATGTAATTTACGACAGATGAACAAGTTTGACCTTATTTGTTCAACGTAATAACCAATACAGTGTGTATGTGTGTATGTGTGTGTGCATACGTAATTGTTTTCAACTAATTATAGTTTATCTGTTTCATCATAGTGACAAGATAAATTTTCAAAGACATAGTTTAATAGAAAAACATGGGAGTTTAATATTAATACAAGGAATATATACAAATACAAATTTTTCATTTACTGGTTTTTATAAATAATAATAAACATTTTAAAAAAAACATATTTCAAACTTGTTTGGGTTCGAATCCCGCGAGGCAGGGTTGCGGATGCGGACTGTTGAGGAGTCCCACAATAGAAAGAAACGGCCGTTCAGTGCTTCCAGGTTTTCCATGGTGGTCTAGCTTCAATTAACTCATGATCTCAACTGTTGAAGTCTTTTTTCATTAATCAGATATCTTTTAGTTTTATTGCTCTAGTAACAAGATGAAGTTTTTTTGTATTAGTAGTTTGAATCTTCTCATTAATGTTTTTATGATTGTAATCTATCAGTTTCTTTTTCACTATTAAACACTATCTATCTCTGTATATAATGCTTATGACTTAAGACAATATGGAGGCGATCCGTACACGTGAATAACATGATGGCGTTTGGAGTTAATGATGCTGGATTTGACATCCACAGTAAACATCACTACCTCTGGTATGTAAGTACATTTAGCTGATGAGTTCCATGTAGGACGAAACGTGTGGTCGTCATCCATCTCTCCCTATAATAAAATAAAGTGTTTCCATCAAAAGCTGATGACAAATGAACGCCTCTACTGTTAAGTAAATGACTAAACCAGATAGATCAACTGATAATAATTAGTGTCAAGCTGAATAGAACGTCTTATCACTGATTGATATACTACTAAAAGAGTACAATAATGTATAGCTGTTTTAACTTTATATGATAGATTACACTCATAACTCCATTTTAGGCCCAAATCTGTTTAAAGCCAAATAAAGCCTATTTATTCATGATTCCAGACTAGTCATCAGTGTACATTTACAATTTCATAGGTGGTATACAGAATACAACTTTCATTCTTACACTAAAGATCATTATTGTTTCCAAAAATCAATAATTAACTATCACGTAGCACCGTTGGATGCTGGCTCAGTGGTCCAATGGTTGAGCGCTCGCGCACGAGACTGATAGGTCCTGGGTCCGGATCTTGCGGGAAGCGACATGGTGGATGCGCACTGCTGAGGAGTCCCATACCAGGACGAAACAGCCGTCTACTGCTTCCAAGTTTTCTATGGTAATCTTGTTTCAATCGATTCTTGATTTCAACCACTGAAATTTCTAAAAAAAAATTGGATATTTGTATTTTTAACAAAAGTTAGTACTTTGAAACTAAACGTTATCTAAGTACGAGAAAAAGAGACTAAACATGAGAGGGGGGAACACACAGAAAATTCCCATTCAGTAGAATGAAGATCTGTTTAAAATTTCTATGTATATTCGTAATAAATAATTTGATTAATATTGATTATTTAGATAAGTGAAAATTCTGAAACATTGGACATATGTTTCTCCGATTGTGAGACTCATCAACAACATGAGTCCATATTCTTAGTTGAATATTTGGTATTTATGTATGTTACGTAGTACAGTATTACTAAACTATCAGTATGGGGATTTGTGGAGATTATAGTATTTCAATAGTTGGATTCACTAGTCAATCTAAGTTAGACCACCATTGAAAACTCAGAAGCACTGGACAGTTGCTACTGTTAAGTATGCTACTTATGTTGACAGATATAAGTAGTATGTAACGTCAGTCAGAAGTGGAACGCCTCCAAGAAGAAAAATAAATTGAAAATAACAGGAGAGAAAACAGTCAGCAATTGTAAGAATAACAGAACATGAAGAATCATGAAACATGTAAACGACAATTGAAGCAAGATATGCAAATCATGTATTTAATGTATGGTTTTCATATGTAATTTAGCACTAAACAATAAATTAGTTTTCCCCGATTCGGTTCTCACTTACTACATAAGGTCCAACTGTGAGGTGTCTTAGAAGTGCACACCCACGAACCTCCCACCAGAGATCGAACCCGAAATAGCTGTCTAGTGCTTCTAGATTTTCAACAGTTTCTTAACTTCGATCGGTTTTTGATCTCACTAAAACTTTGGTCGTCCACACAACTCATATACAAATCATTTTCGGTATTTATTGATTGGGAATTTAGGGAAA